CAAATACCAACTAAAGTCCAACAAAATAAAAACAAAGTGTCTAACCACCATCCCCAACAAATACATAACAGGGGGTAAAAATAGAAACCCTAACCCACCACCACCCTCCCAAAAAAAGGAAACCCAGAGTGGAAGTCATACTTACTCCATTAAAATTTTAATCTTAACGCTGAAATTATTTTGGACTGACTACCTGATATAGAAGCATCTTTCACTATAAATAAACAGGTAATTCATAATTGGCTTGCATCCCAGGATGTTTCAATAGGAGTTTAAATGTAACACATACGTCACACACACACACACACACACACACACACACACACACACAAAAGGAAAAGATTGTCTTTTCTTACCACATGTAGTCTTTTCTTTAAACATATAAAAAGATGTTCATTATCACTCAAAACACTTTGAAATGCAATGAAAGCTATATCGGTACACTTTTCCAGATTAGATAAAAAACACTTGTACTGGGCAAGTGTCAGAAAGCATCTCTCTCGTACATTGCTGGTTGCTGTGAATGTTTTATTGACTGATACAGCTTCTCTGGAAGGGAATTGGGCAATAACTATCAAAAGTTATAATAGCTCAACAATTACACTTCGGGAATTTAATCCTACAAATATTTCACACATGTGTAAGAAGACCTATGTGCTTATATGCTAATTCTTAACAGTACCATTTGCATTAGCAAGAGATCAGAAACAAAGTATACACCAATACAAGACTAGAAAAAAAGTTATGGTACATTCATATACTGCAAAACAATGTAGTCTAGTGAGGAAGAGCTAGGAAATAGCTGCACATAAATTGTATATATAATACACACATACACTTCAATTTATCCTGTTTTTGTTTTAAATATATTTATATTGATTTCAGAGAGGAAGGAAGAGGGAGAGACAGAAACATCCAAGATGAGAGAGAATCATGGATCAGCTGCCTCCCGTAAGTCCCCCACTGGGGATCGAGCCCACAACCCGGGCATGTGCCCTTGACCGGAATCGAACCTGGGACCTTTCAGTTTGCAGGCCGATGCTCTATCCTCTGAGCAAACTGGCCAGGGCATATCCTGTTTTCTTTAACGCAGGAAAAAAGTTTCACTTAAATATCAAATTCAATTAAATAGAGAAAAGATATTCACCACAGAATTAGATATTATAAAATAAATGCAACATTTTTTACAAATGTTCTCACTAATGTGACACAATACATTTTACTTGTTTATGATAATAAACTCTAAAGAACCAAATTAAAATTTTACTTAGTTCATTTATATCTTATATTTCTGACCTTATTATTGCACAAGCTAAAAGAACTTATGCTGCTACTATAGGTTTCTTCAAAACGCACTAGAAGTACACTGATTAGTAAACCAAACATGGGTACAAAAATAAAGTTATTAGACTATTTTGCACCAACTCAGTAAAGAACAGAGTAAGAAATTCTTTCTTCAGTATTCATGAATAGGAATTTGGGCTAACAATCTATGTATATAAAACTCTAATATGTAAATAAACCAAATGGCGAAACAACCAAATAACTGGTTCCTATGACATGCACTGACCACCAGGGGGTGTGTAAGGAACATGGCAGGCTTCGGCCATGGCAGGATGGTGGATGTGAGCAGGGGCACCAGACCAAGGCTGGGCACCAGCTGCTGTCATGTGAGTGAACCTCAGGTGGTTACTGAAAAGTCTTTGTTCCTGTGCGCCATGGTCCTGCCTGGTGCTGCTCGCACCTGCTGCTGGCATCCAGCGCCAGCCCCAATCACCCCTCAGGGATTCTCCACCTCCCCCTGATTCTGAAGGGCGATCTGGGCCGCAGCAGCCGCTCACACCAGCTGACAGCACTGGCCCTGCTTGCACCCAAAGCTGGCGCTGGCCCCAATAGCTCCACGCTGTCAGCGGGGGAGCAGAGGCAGGAGCAGGGCTGCTGGCCGCAGCAGGAGGGCCAGGCACAGGCGTGGAGGAGACCCACCCCTGTGCCCACTGCAGCCTTATGGCCCACAGTTCCTTCCAAGGTGCACGAACTCGTGCACTGGGCCCCTAGTAGGTATAAGATAAAGTCCTAGATAGAATAGCTGTTAATTTTATAAACTTTACAAATATGCCAAAGAGGACTTCATTACATGTACTTATTGCATATAAATAAAATTTTAATTAACCAGTCCATATTTTTAAAAGATTAAGAAGGCTCACTTTCTCTCTCTCTCTCTCTCTCTCTCTCTCTCTCTTTAGTGCCCTACACAGGATTTCAACCAGCAATCTTTCAGTGCATGGGGCAATGCCCAACCAACTGAGTCACAGTGGCCAGGGTGAGGGCCATTTTCAAAAGAAACTTTCCTGATTCTTTCCTGAATGTAAATAATATTAACTTTAGATTTTTTTTTCTTTGTTTCTCTAATGATAAAAGCCATGCCATTGTCAATTTGTTCATTAAACAAGAGGCCAGTTTACATAATGGTAGCATTACTATACTTCAATTCTTACCTTCCAAGTAACACTCTTTGCTTTCATCCAGGAAAATTACAAATTTAAAACAATTATACCAACATACTTCTTAGAAATTACATCATGTGGTTCTTGCCAAAAAGGACTGTCCTACTGCACAGCTTAGGCACATATTACCCATAAAGATTAAAATGAGTAAAGTGAGCCTCTAATATTACAAACTGTGTGCTATTACAAACTGGAGTACCATCAGGCTTTGGGATAGTTTTTAGATTTTAAGGTAAACAGGATAACAAAGTAGATACAGCAATAATATTCATGCCCAATACAACTTCTTAATTCATGATAATTCACAAAATAATTTTCAGATATTCTCTACTTAAAAAAAATACAATTCCATAAATAAAATCTCAACCACATAATATACCTTATAATAAGAGGGCTCCTTTGCATCTTGGATATGCTCTGTGTTTTTAGAATAACTTCATCAATATGAGTATATAAAGATCAGATGAATCAACAACCACCAATACTGACTGATAATATATCATAGTTGTGAGCAGAAATGTATCATTTGTTGTCATATAAAACCAACATTAGGTGAAAAATCATTAGAAGGTTATTGAAAATAAAAAATACTTCAGATATTACCTGGTCCAGTGGTTCTCAAACATGGTTGCACATTAAAATCACTTCTGAGAATGTAAAAAAATATACTGATGTCAACTTAATCAGAACTGGGGTGAGGGAAGGCTGCATCAGTTTGTGTTTTTTTAAACGTGCTCAGTGATTTGAATATATAGCCAGTAATGAGCATTATCAATATCTCAGGTTATAAATAAGGGAATCTATAAACCATTATGATCAGTTTCCCTTCCAAATTTTCCATATATACAGTGGAAAGGAAAAATGAATTCCACGTTATTTCAGCTGATTTTTTTAGTAACGGCATCTTGGAGCATTTACACAGGGTAGAATTTCAAACTTCAAGCATAGGGCAATTCATAGACCCTAGTGTTACTGTCCAGCTCTGTTGCTGGTGGAGACTTCTTAAAAGTGTTGACCAAGCCCTAGCTGCTTTGGTTCAGTGGATATAGCGTTGGCCTCGGGACTAAAAGGTTCTGGGTGCGATTCCGGTCAAGAGCACATGCCCGGTTTCCTGGCTCCATCTCCAGCAGGGGACGTGCAGGAGGCAGCCGATCAATGATTCTCTCTCATCATTGATGTTTCTCTTCCTCTACCTTCCTCTCTGAAATCAATACAAATAGATATTTTTAAAAGTGTTGACCAAGAGAGGAAGAGGCAGGTGACCCCATAACTGATGTCTGATCATGGACATAATGCAATAGTAAAAAGCAAACTTTAGAGCCAGTCAACCCTGGCTCTGCCACACACTGTTAACGTAAACCTTTGTTTCCTCGCCTGTAAAACACGAATAAACATCAACCTCCTAAGGAGACACTAGCGATTTAAAAGGCCAACATAATCCCTATAGATAATAATGGCTTGGTTTAATAAAAATAAGCTAATTAATGCCTGTCGAGTTTAATTAAAATTAGAAGACCTGGGGAAGAAAGCCCAGATCACTCTCACAGGCCCATTCGCTTCTTTTCACCAATGCCCCCTAGCTGATGCCAGGCAGAGAACTGGCAAGAACAGAAGACCGGTCGCGGAGGGGAGGGCCTGGCTGGTACGGCCAAGAGGGGCCCAGAGGCCGCGCATCCCGCCCAAAGCAGCCGGGGCCGCGGCGCTGCAGCCCCATCTCGGGGATGCACCCGAGGCAGGCCAATGGTGGAGGACAGAGAACGCAGGGCCCCTCACCTTCACCACGGCCGTGCCCCAGCTGCCCTGACGGCCACCGTCCAGTCCCGATCCAGCCTTGTTTACAACCAGAGAAGCCATCCTTGCAGGAGCGGCGCTGCAGAAGCACCCGAAAGGGCCTCCAGGGGAGGGGCGGGGCAGAGCCACCTACCCAGAAGCCTCGGCGCCCTCCACTGGCGCGCAGGCGCAGTACTGCGCGGGGCGGGGAGATGTTCCCAGGACCGCCTCCTTCCTCCTCCGGCTGCACATCCTTGCGCGTGGCCGCTTTCATTATTATTAAAGAATCTGCCACTGATGGAAGGAATAACGTTAAAAAAAAATTAAAGCTAAAAGAGAAGCAAAATGTTGGGATGCAACTCTCGCTCCAAGAGCAAGATAATATTGTCCCCAATCGGTCGCGAAAGGAAGGGCGGGGGGGGGGGGGGGGGGGTGAGGAGGAACTACATCTCCCAGCATGCAGTGCGGTTTTATATAAAACTACAAGTCCCGGTGCCACCTCTGAATCTTTTACGGCGCAAGGCCGTCATTTCGGAGACCGCGTAGTGTTCCGACGAGTGGCGTCGAGCCGTCGCAAAGTGTGAATGCGGATGGGAAGAGGAGTATTCTCTTTGTAGGTGTTCCACAGGCCGGATGTGGCCTTGGTGAGAAGCTGCCATAGGGTCGTAAAGGACCTGATAGGAAGGGAATTTAAAACACCACCGGGAAGGGACTGTGTTTGACGCGCTGCCTTCCCCAAAGTGCGTTTTTTCTGCTCTCTTCCGGGTTGGATTGAACCTCCTCAACCCCCGTAGGCTCTCGATCGAGAGTGCCTGTCCAAATGGAAGTGAATCCCCCCAAACAGGAGCACCTGCTGGCTCTGAAAGGTAAAGTGAACCTGACTCCCCTTCATCTGTTCTCTCCTCCCCCCCTCCCCCCCTCTAGAGCTCCAAGTCTTGGCCACGCAGCCCTGGCCTGCGGGGTGTAGGCCTCGTTCTTCTTACCCTCCCTGCACGCCCTGTGGCTCTGCCTCTGGCGCCGAAGCGGCGGGAAGCAATTTCAACTCTGATTTTAGGTTTGTTGAGAGCCTCCCTCTAAAACGGGTAGGTAGACCAGTGGCGGAGGGGTGGGGATAGAGGCCAATCACTCAGTTAGGTGCTGTTGCAGTCACCAGATTGGAGTCCCAGAACCTGACGTCCCCACCCTACGCAGGGAGAGCCAGCCCTGTGACCAAGAGGATGACAGGCGACCTCTGAAGTGGTTTTCTTTGGTGTCTTGTCCCTTCATGCGGCTCTGACAAAGAGCCTTCACCTCCATCTGTAGAACAGCAGTGCCAAAGATTTAGAAGTACATAGTACTGACATATAATTCAGTTTTGTTAAAATCTACTGTAGTGTGTACTTCAAAATACCGTATATATGGGAAAATTCACGTCAACTTTCATATTCTGTACCTAGCCATCAATTTGAGTATGTTTGATAATTAGATCATTATTTAGAGAAAAACAGGTAAGAGTTTTTCTTGAATTCCTGTTATTTTCTGGGGGGGGGGGGGACAACAAACTTTTAAATGCTTTCAGCTATGTTTTATCTATTTTTTCCACAAATGCACTTTTTTATTTTTTGTATGCTCTGATATGTGGTTACCAACCCCTTCTTCGACTGAGCTGAGAAAATGCTCAGTAGACTTTCGAACTCAGTTGCATTGCACATCCTTGTGGTATTCATTTTGAGGACCTTCCCTTCCAGAAGCCCCCCAGTCCTATTTGTAACGTAAAATCAAATACCGATAGCTGGGCTTAGCAGGACGGCCTCTGACTGCCTAATTAAGGAAGTGCAATATTAAGTAATATAGCAAAATGCCCAGTAAGCTTAGTTTGAGCAAATGAGCTGGACTGAAGTGGGTTATTCCTGAAGAAAAAGAGGAAAAGGAACTGCCAGGGGCTTTATCTCTCAATCTCACAGCAAGCATGCCCAGTAGGGGTTCCTTAACTCTCAAAAGTTAAGAAACCTTTTCAAGATCACAAAGCTAATTATTGATGGAGGCAGTATTTCAGCACAAGGCCTTCCTCCGTCTTTCCCAAAAACTGAATAAGTTTAGACAATACTGAAAGAATTCTCAATGTCCTTATCTTACAATGTGAAAGTATAAAGGAAAAAATAAAAGCATACATTCTTGAAAGGATGTGCTACCTAATTTAAGAAACATTAAAAATTATGAATACTATGAATTTACAAGTTGTCAAGTCTGTTAATGGACATTAACAGTAGGCTAAAATAATCATGAGATGACTTCTGACTCTTCACGAGGTGGTCATATAAGTGTTGACATCATGCCAGGAGTCCCCACCACTGTTATCCTGATAGTGGGAGAACCCTCATCAAGTAGTTCTTTCAATGATTTTGAGGAGAAGGAATTCAATCTCTCTCTCTTTATTTTTTCTTTTCTTTTTTTTTCTTTTTTTTTTTTTTTTTTTTTTTTTTTTTTTTTTTTTTTAGTGCAAGACATGAAAGAATTTGCAAGTATGGCTTTTGCAGTTTTGTACCTGGTTAGAAAAACTGACTTGCTGATCCTGTAAGGTTCCATTCTTGAGCCTGTGTACTATATGCTGAACTTACTCTCAGTGCTTAATTTGGGGCAACTTGAGGACTTCTGTATTATAAGAAGAAAAAATAAGGGTTTAGCCTTCTTGCTTCCCTCCAAATTGGAATTCAAGAGCCATGGTCTTAAGTGCCTTAATTAGACAGAGGAGGCTGTCACAAAACCAGTCCCTAGCCTGGGTAAAATGCAAACTGAAACCATTTTTATGCTTTTAGTGTTTACTATTGAGAAGTCTAAAAATTTTAAGTAGTAGTATTCTTTAAATGATCTATATATGAATCTAGTATTTTAAGAATCACTAATTTTTCTTTGTTTTGTATATAGTCTTAATATTATTAGTACCTAATATATTAATGTCATTATTTCCAAAATTCTTTATTACCTATTAAATTAAACATGTTGACTACTACCCTGTTTCCCTGAAAATAAGACAGTGTCTTATATTAATTTTTGCTCCCAAAGATGCGCTAGATCTTATATTCAGGGGATGTCTTGTTTTTCCATGCGCTAGCTCTTATTTTCGGAGGATGTCTTATTTTCGTGGGAACACAGTAGCATTTTTAGGCTAGAAGTGAGCTGATAAGGCATCTAATACAGCTCCCTTATTTTCATGAGAGAAAGGATTTCCAGATTCATGGATTACATTCACATTTACCAATAGCACTTTGGTAAAATAGTATATTGGGATTGGTTTTTGTTTTTCCTTTTCTCCCTGACTACTTGTATGTAGGCTATCCCTACCATATCTTATTCTTTGCAATACTTCCACTTTAGGTCCTGTTACCCTCTGGTTTGGAAAGAAACAGTCTTGTAATTTTAAATTACATTCTAGCTCTGAGGAGCTCAGCTAAGAAATTTTATTTTCATTAAGAGTAATTGGACTACTTCAGAATGACCACCGAAATAATATTGCATTATCGAGCATATGAGAGTGATCCCACACAATTGCTGAAAATTGCAGAGAAAGCAATTCAAGACTTTCCTACACGTCCGCTATCAAGATTTATCCCTTGGTTTCCACATGATGGGTCCAAACTTCCCCTCAAACCTAAACGATCACCACCTGTGATTTCTGAAGAGGCAACTGAAGATGTGAAACAACACTTAGCCATCTCAGAACGGGATGTTAAGTCACAGAGTTATGATTGCACAGTAGCTCTATTGGAGTTTCAGCCTAATTTGAAAGAAAAGAAGCACTTAATCCGTTCACACACACTGAATGAACAGACTACGTCTGGAAATCGGGATAAACAATCAGAGAAAGGGAAACAGCACGAGAAGAGGTCTTGGAGTGTTTCACTTTCCAGCAAAAATTGTACTGAAGATATTTTTCCTTTGTCTAAAAATTTGCAAGATAGTATAAAGGCACTAGGTTTACACTTATTTTATAGAGCAAGATGGACAGTAGATCAAACTGTATGTAACAACCAAACTCTGGAAGACATATGGGCAAAACTCAATAGAATTATCAGGCACAATGAACTTCCATCTTGTAATGCTACAATTCAGAGACATTTGGGCCAAATATGGGTGTTTTGTGATATTATGTACTGTGAATATGTGGGAAATCTCCTTAAAGGAAGATTAGCTCTTACAGGGAAAATAAATTTATTTGTGCATAAACATGGTATTATTTTTAGTATGTAATGAATTCCAGTGATTGTCAAAAAGAAGAGTATGTACTGAAATAGATGAGTAAATTTTACTAGTTTTTAAATTTTTATTGACAATTTTTTTTATTTGAATCTTTGTTAGTATAGCCTATTTATTCTTAACATTGTGAAAAATAATTGTGTGGTAATATGTGTTCAGTTTGTGTCTCAGGAATAAATGTCATGTGAATTTGTAGACTTGTCATTTAAGTCAAGAACTTTTTAACAGCCACTGTTTAAATTAATTTTGATAAATTATTTATACTAATGTTAGAGGTAAAATGAGCCATTCCTTTTGTTCTGTTAATTTTCCAATGGTTGAGTTATATATTCCTATGAGTTACAGTGAATAGTTTGGATTTGGGTAAATCCTTAAAATCTAATTTTATACTATTTTTTTCTTTACTCATCTAAAATGTAATAATTTTTTAAAAATTAAACTAAAACCTGTTTCATTTTCAGGGAATGCTATTTAAGTGGGAGACCAACCAAATTGTGTGTGTTCCCAAAGATATGTAATAGATAACAGTTGATGTATTGTCTTGAAACAAAGGTTAAATAATAAAATAAAGAATTTTCCTAAAACCATAGTATATCTTTAAGGCTATATAGCATGTTTTGAAAAGAAGTATTAAATATGATAAGAAATCAAGTTACTTTTTATTCTAATACAAGTAATTCCATATTAATGACTATTAATACTGGTTACTAACCTGCTGGTTCTTGAAGTCATTGTTGGTTTCCCATAACCAAAATGTTATAAAATGGATTTATGCATCACCTCATAGAAATAACCAAAGGACTTACATGGGTATATGCAAAGCCCCTGGACACAGACAATAGTGTGGTGAAGGCCTGGGAGATGGAGTGGGGGCAGGGTGCAGGGGGTCATTGGGGGGAAAAAGGAGGAACATATATAATGCTTTCAACAATAAAAATAATTTTTAAACAAATAACCAAAGTGCCCTGACCGGTTTGGCTCAGTGGATAGAGCATCAGCCTATGGACTGAAGGGTCCCAGGTTCTATTCCGGTCAAGGGCATGTACGTTGGTTGCAGGCACATCCTCAATAGGGGGTGTGCAGGAGGCAGCTGGTCGATGTTTCTAACTCTCTATCCCTCTCCCTTCCTCTCTGTAAAAAAACAATAAAATGTATTTAAAAAAATAAATAACCAAAGTGATTATGGAATAAAAGGTTTATAAAAGGGTGTATTTATTTAATAAATTTAAATGCCTCCTATGAGCTAGATACTAGAATTCAGTAGGGGATGCAAACGTACCCTGCCCTCACAGAGTTTACATGGAGTTACTACTATTAAGTAGTAAAACCAAACTCTTGAAAAAAACCAGTAAGAGTGTATTCATTAGCCAAGTGGAGATATGTTTGCCTAGCGTGGTAGAGGTTTCATAATGCATGATACATGTGCCCTTTGGAGAGATTCTTCACAGGCTGATATTGCTTAAAGTCTGAGGAGTCTACTCATTTTTAATAAAGAGGGAATCTTTTCCAGTTAGATTTTACTCTGTTCAAATTTTGTTTTGTTTTTAACTATTTTTAGTGTCATTTTATTGTCTCAAATGAGACTGCTATCTAGAAAATAAACAGCATGTGCATGAATGCTTCCGGAAGTCTTTAAAAGAAAAATCACCTATTGTAGAGGGAGTTTCCAAAGTAGCTTCTTCAGTAATGACTTCCTCTTTTGTTCATCAATCTTGCTTTTCAACCCAAGACTGTTGGAGAAATGTCAAGAAGCCATTGAGTATTGCTAGTGAGCTTGTGAACAATAGTTGGTTAATATAATTAGGCAAAACTAAATGGTGAAGCTGATTATTGTTCAGGTCTTACTTACTGAGAGGTTGCTAATCAAGGGCTAAAAGTTAGGCACTCATGCCCTGGCCAGTGTGGCTGATGTTTGGGCATTACAGGCCTGTGTCAGGGCACATGCCCTGCTTGCAAGTTCCACTGGGCGGGGAACATGGCCTGAGGTTCCCATCAAGCCTTGCCAGGCAGGGGGTGTGGTCTGAAGTCCCCATAAAACTGCTTGGCCGGGACGTGGCTTGAGGTCCCTCATCAATACCCGCCAAGCAGGGAGCATGGCCTGAGGTCCCCTGTCAAGTCCTGCCAGGCAGAAGACACGGCCTCAGGTTCCCTGCCCCCGCCCAGCACCACGCAGCCTAGGGGGTCCCTGCTGATTGCTCCTTAAGGCTCTGTCAGCCTCCATTGTGGGCGCAGCCATCTTGTGTTACAGGATCCCTGCCTCTGCTGTGGGCACAGCCACCTTATGTTATGGAATCCCTGCCTCCATTGTGTGTGCAGCCATCTTGTTATGGCATGACAGTCAATTTGTATATTCACTCTATAGATAGGGCTAGAGGCCCGGTGCACAAAATTTGTGCATAGGGGTAGTGCCCCTCAGCCCACCTTCACCCTCTCCAATCTGGGAACCCTCGGGGGATGTCTGACTACTGGTTTTGGCATCATACCTGAGATCCTGCATTAAGCCCCACATGGCGGTAGGTGTGGCCTCAGGTCCTCCAGCCTGGCAGGATCTGGCCTAAACCTGTAGTTAGATATCCCTTTCACAATCCAGGACTGCTGGCTCCTGACCACTCGCCTGCCTGATTGCCCCTAACCACTCTCCCTGCCAGTCTGATAGCCCCCTAACCGCTCCCCTGCCAGCCTGATTGACACCTAACTGCTCCCCTGCCAGCATGATTGTCCCTAACTGCCCTTCCATGACAGCCCAATCACCCCCAACTGCCTTCCTCTGTGGGGCTGAGGTGACTGCGAGACTGAGGCTGGAGGAGGCAGGGCTGAGGTGACTGGGGGACTCGGACTGGGTGAGGTGGGACTGAGAGGACTGGGCACTGCCATCTTGTGGCTGTGGGTGCTGCCATCTTTGTGATGGTGTGACGATCAATTAACATATTCCCTCTATTAGATAGGATAAACTCTTTTGTTTTCTAGTTTTTCTGTAATGAGGTGTATTGTATTTACATTTAATTTTTAAAGTTCATTAACTTATAAAAATGTAAAATTATTTTCTTTTTTCATGTATAAAATTGTTTCATATATTAGCATTTAAAATGAATGATTGCTATATAATAATCTTAGGAAGTGTTTAATATTATATTTAGTTTAGGAAGTATATAGTTATATTTTATATTAGTATAAAATGGATGAGTGCCATGCACTGGCTTGGGAATACTAGCCCAAAGCAATATTAATATACCTATTTTTTTTACTGTTGGAATTCACAGTGATGCGGTTGACGAAGCCTACTTTATTCACCAATATTCCAGTAACATGTGAAGAGAAAGACTTACCTGGTATGGCACTTACTTTATTCTACTTGCACTTAGGGAAAAATTGGCATCTTGATTGACTCTGTTACCTTCGAATAAGCCCAGCCTTGCCAATTTTTACTCTTTGCTACATTCTCTGTTCCCTGTTTTTGTAGCATGCAAGTGGTGGCCATCACGTTACAGGTCTCATTATAAGGTACTATTAATATCCAATGGCAACAGGAGATTTTTATTTTAGTTTTAATAATAATACATCCATAGTCATAATGCTATAAAAATTACATTTGTCTTCAAATTGTTCCATCAATGTATGTATTAGCATTCTCTTTTTTTAAAATTACTGGAGCTTACTATAATATATTTTATATCACTTGATCTATATTTACCTTTGTTTCTAATGTTCATTCTCTGTGAAACTAGAATTTATTGGCATGCACTAGTTTCATTGAAGGTTACATATTAGCTTGTTTAAATATAACTTGTGAAGAGGTTGTTTTTTTAAAAACATCTCTCTTTATTTATGTAAGTAAAGTTATTTACAAGGTAGAATTTTATGTTTTTGTCTTTCTATAGGAGATCTCTTTAACCAACTCATGAGAGATGATCCTTCAACTGTAAATGGTGCAGAAATTTTAATGTTGGGAGAAATGTTGACTTTACCACAGAATTTCGGGTAAGAATGATGTAATCATATAAGACATGCAGCAAATACTTTAAAGGCATTACAAATCTAGTTTTCAGAAAAATAACTATGGGTTGGCAAAGTGCTCATGATCCATTTAAGTGATAAAAAAACAGTTCATCAAAATTATACTATATGATACTGGTTTTTAAAAAACCGTAAGAATATATATATATATATATATATATATATATAGTTAGTTAGTTAGTTAGTTAGTTAAGAAAAATAAGATACATACCAAGATATTAATAGTGATTCTTCAAGTGATAGGATTTTAACTTTCTCGATTAGATCTTTCTATTCAGGGTCAGGCAAAAGTCAGTTTATAGTTGTTTGTATGGAAAATAATACAATAATTAATAAATAATACAAGAATGAACTATTTTGCATACTGACAACTGTAACAGTACTTTTTGCTCTACTCTGTATTTTTTAATGCCCATGGATTCCTTTTATTTTAATTTATTTAATACAAATGTCTTTCAGAATCATCTCTTTTATTCAACTTCACAGCCCTCTCAACATAAGTTATCAGACTTGGCAGCTAATTGGGAGCTATAAATTTTTTTTATTTTTCCTCTTTCTCTTAGCTTATTATTATAGATTATTATTGGGGTGGTTGCCCCTGGTTCCATCCTTTTCAACTGAGAGAATTTGACACTAAAATGTATTTTTTAAGTTTTTATGAAAGGTTTACAGAAGATGGTCATTGACTAGTGTCTTCAAAACTTGGAAATATATTCATGTAAAAATGTTTTATAAATATATATTTTTAAATATTTTATATAGTATATAATTACAAATATATTTTTTTATAAAATATATTTTGTAAAAAGTATACAGTAAAGCCACTAGTTACTATTTTTATTAGACTAACTTAGAAAAATCAAATATAAAAAAATACTCTGAAATCAATTACTTGGGTCTCTTCTAGATTCAGGTCATAAGTTAGTTAACAAAAATTGCTTTTTTCTATCCTCTTCAATAACAAATCTTAAGACTCCTAAGACTCTTAACATGGACCTGACTTCAGTGACTTATTCCTAAAGAAACTGGCAGTTGGTGCTGTAGTTGAGGGCCATGATTTATAGCTTGCTTTACAGATTAAACTAGAGGCCCGGTGCATGAAATTCATGTATGATAGGGTCCCTAGGCCTGGCCGGCAATCAGGGCCAATCTGCAGTGCGATCGGGATGCCCCCTGATGGCACCTGCCTTGGCTGGCCTGGCACCGCCTACTTGCCAGCCTTGCCGTCGCCACCAGTCGCCTCCCTTGTGGGGCAACCAGCAGGGCGATTGGGGGGCCCATGCTGGCTGGGCTGGGGTCAGCTCCTGCATTGAGTGTCTGTCCCCTGGTAGTCAGTGTGCATCATAGTGGCCCGTCATTCCACTGGTCATTCTGTTCAGTCAGTTTGCACATTAGGCTTTTATTATGTAGGATGCAATTCAAAATACTTATCCTATATAATAAAAGCCTAATATGCAAATCGAACAGTGGGACGATCAGTCATTGTGATGCACAGTGACCACCAGCTTATTATTATAGACACTCAACACAGGAGCTGTCCCCTGGTGGTCAGTACACTCCCACAGGGGGGGCGGCGCTCAGCCAGAAGGCGGGCTCACAGCTGGCGAACTCAGCAGTGGTGGTCGGAGCCTCTCCTGCCTCTATGGCAGTTCTAAGGATGAGGAGCAGACCCAAGCCGGCAGTCAGACATCCCCCAAGGGCTCTGAGACTGAGAGAAGGTGCAGGCCAGTCTGACGGGGCCACCGCCCCCAAGTGTAAGAATTTTGTGCACTGGGCCTCTATTAATAAAAGAGCAGCCTAATGTAAACAAGGAATGTTGAAGCAGTATTTTTCCTGATCTCTATCCTTTAATAAATTTTTCTACATTTGAAGTTCTCATTGGTGCTCAAATAGAATATTTATGATAAATCTTGAATGAATTTCTATGTAAAATTTTATTTTATTTCACAGGAACATATTTTTGGGAGAGACCTTTTCCAGTTATATCAGCGTTCATAATGATAGTAATCAAGTTGTAAAAGATATATTGGTAAAAGTAAGTGGCATTCTTGTTTGCGATATATTTTTTAAAACAACTTTTCTATTATGTTTTGGAAACTTATAAAAAGCATGTTTGATATGGAAATTTTTGTCATCAACAATAAGCAATAATTAAATACCTAATAGTATAGTAAGCTAAGCACAGGATCATTTCTGTTATTTCCAAAGTTTGTGATAGGTTGGATGAGAAAATGTACCAGTCAACAGTAAACAGCAGAATGTTTTTGTTAGCAATTTCTGATTAACATAATAAAATTTGAAGGAGGAGGAAAGGTGAGGGAGTGAGGGGGGAGAGGGGGAGTTGCCTAAATCAGGAAAGCTTATTAGAAGAAAAGGAGCACAAGAGGGTCTTGAAAGAATGGTAGGATTTAGAGAAAAAGACAAGAGGAACTAGGTAATCGGAAGCAGAGACATAGGGATACAAATTGTGTTCTTATAGCACTGAAGAGTAGACAAGATATGGATGTGCACACAGTGGAGCACCGTGCAAGCTAGGCTAAGGTTGAGATTTTGCCTATTTTGTTTTGTTTTTTGAGACCGTGGGCAGTCAGAGGAGATTTAAAAAAATAAAATAAAAAAATTTATATATATATATATATATATATATATATATTTTTTTTTTTTTTTTTTTTTTTCAAATTGATTTCAGAGAACAAGGGATAGGGAGGGGGAGATAGAAACATCAATGATGAGAATCATTGATCAGCTGCCTCCTACATGCCCCCTAATGGGAATTGAACTCGTAACCCAGGCATATGCCCTGTCAGGGAATTGAACCGTGAGCTCCTGGTTCAATAGGTCGATGCTCAACCACTGAGCAACACTGGCCAGGCTGTCAGTGGAGATTTTGAACAAAGATATTCACACTATTTTGGAAGACTGATGAAAGCATTGTATGGGATGGTTTGTAGGAAATAGACCAGTTAGAAGATTTTTTCAGTCATTTAGAAATTAAGAGAGAGAATATACCAATTCAATTAAACAATCTGAAATCTATTTACATAGAGAAAGTGCATAAAGCAAGTAAAAACTCACTGAATATGAGGGAGAAGTTTTGTAAAAGCTGTCCCAAGTGATGCGTTTAGGTCACTTGAGCATTACCAGAACGGAAGTCCAATTAGGATGTGTTTGAAAATGATCAATTATTAGAATTGAAAAGGACCTCAGAGAGCAAATATACCAAATTTCCTATATGACCTAACTTTCAGAAATTGGATGCAAATTTTTGCATACATGTGCATATGTTTATTATACTATTGATGGGGTTTCTGCCTTTCATTAGGTCAGGAGTTGGCAAACTATAATCTGTAGGCCAAATTTGGTCCATGCCTGTTTTTATGGCTTTTGAGCAAATAATGGTTTTTACATTTTCAAATGATTGGAAAGAAACAGCTTATTTTGTGATGTGAAATTCAAATTTCAGTGTCCATAAAGTTTTATTGACACACAGCCACACTCATTTATTTCTGTATTATCTGTGGCAGATCTCAAGCTACAGTGGCTGAGTTGTAGTTGCAAAAGAGCTCTCCAAAGTCTAAATTATTTGCTGCCTGATCTTTTAAAGTTTGCCAGTCTTTGCATTCGATTATGAAAAGATCTGACTTTTAGAACTTGGAGAATGTATACTTTTTTCCTGGCATTCCGTAAATGTTCTATTTATTTTTATAAGATGAATAAATCAATCAAGGCATCTAATTTAAGGTAAATAAGTATTAAAAAGAGAAAAATAATATAATAGCTTACTTATAAATATGTAAGTTTATATCTTTTGGTTTTATTTAGTTTTAATTTTTATAAAGGCAGTGGTGTTTGAAATATAACATTAGCGAATGTTTATTGAATAGTGTAATACCCATCAAGAATTTTCTTTTTTTTAATTAAATTTATTTAATGTTGAGTATATTACAGATGTCCCCAGTTTTACCTTTACCCCACTCCACCCAGCTCCCACCACACCCCAGTCCTTCCCCTGTCCTTTGTCTGTGTCCATGGAAAGAATCTTCTTCATCTCAAAAAGATATTTAGTTGTATTATGTACACATAAGTCATTTTTTTATATCAGACTCATGATGACATAGGTAGCATAACATGATATTGGCTTATATTTTTCTTTTTTCATGTTTTCTTTTATCAAGTTTTAGGTATCAATATTATGGTTGCTAAAGGACTTGTATGCATGTATAGTAGCATAACCAATAGACACGGGATACTGGGGCAGTGGGGGCTTGTCCTGGGGAGATGGAGTGGTGTGGTGGTGGTGGTGGGGGGGGTCAATAGGGGAAAAAAGTGACATACGTAATACTTTAAACAATAAAAAAATAATATTATGGTAGTTAAATAAAAATTTAGGGAAATTTCCTTTATTTTCAATGCTTTGGAGCAATACATGGAGCATTTAGACTTCTTTTTTTTTTTTTTTTTTCTTTTTTTTTTTTTTTTCTTTTTGACTATCTGATCTTTAAAGGGTTTGTAGAATTCTTTTTGTAGAATTCTCCTGCTAAATCATATGGGCTAGTGCTGTTTCTTGGGGAAGTTATTTGATAGCATTTTCACTTTCGTCCTCTGGAGATTAGTATGTGTAATCTTTCATCTCTAATGGTGTAAATTTTGCAAAACTGTCTTATTACAGGAAATGATCCATTTTATGTAGATTTTTAAAAATTTATTTGTGTATAGGTCTTCATGGTAGTCTCTGAAAATGTCTATCTCAATGCTATTTTTCCCTGGTCATTTTTTATTTTGCATATTTTTGCTTTCTTTTTCTCTTGATTTAGTTTAGGTATCTCTTGGTTTATATATTAGGTTTTTTATCTATTACTTTATATCTAATGCTTTTCTATTCTCTACCTCATTAATATTTGCTTTTAACTATTTCTTTGTGGTTCTGATTATTTATCTTGTCCTTTTTCTACCTTTTTAGCTGGGGATTTAATTTGTTTATTTTTATTCTTCTTACTATTTTTTTATAAAAGCGAATTCTCTTCTGATTCACTGGTTTAGGTGTATCCTACAGATTCTGATATGTAGTTTTTTTAAATAATTTTATAATTTCCTTTATATTTCCCCTTCTACCCAAGAGTAAATAGGTTTTTCAAATAGAAAGGCCTTTTTGTCTTATTAATCATTTGTAATTATATTGCATCATAATCAGACAGTATTATTCTTGTAATTTTTCTGTTTTTCACACTTATTTTGGGGTAGCAGTTTTTATCAGTGACTTGTTTAAATTCTCATTATCTATTTTCTTTTTTTAGTGTTTTTGTATAGATGAACACTATTGGTGGCTTTGCATTCTGTGCAGTTTGAAGATTTTTTAAATACCTAAGTGAAGAATGCCCTGTGTGAGACATTTGTATTTAATTCTGAATTCTCATACTACCTTGTTGATTTTATTTTATTTTTTATGTGCATGTGTATGTGAACCATTGTCATGGTTCTGAGCGTCAGAGCTATACAGAAACACTTACGCAGAGAAGTCTTGCTCCTCCTCCATCCTACTTCTGTGTTCCTATTCTTTGCATCCATACCTGTCCTCACCATGTAGATAACCAGTCTCATTTGACTATTTTTTGCCACTTTCTTTCAAGGCTGATCTTCAGACAAGCTCTCAGCGTTTAAATCTTTCTGCCTCCAATGCTGCAGTGGCTGAACTGAAACCTGATTGTTGTATTGATGATGTCATACACCATGAAGTAAAGGAAATTGGAACACACATGTAAGGATTATTTTTACGAGTTTTAGAAGGCTTTCTTTTATATATGCCTTTATTTGAAACTTTTGCTTTATTTCCAGTTATCATTAAACCTAATGCCTACTTCAGAAAGCATTTTATGTTTCATGTTTACATTTTACTAGAAACAAAGTTTAAACAGAATATTTTGTATGTATTTGAATGTTAAAACTGTATTTTTCTTTCAATCTGAGAAGCAAATATGAACATTTCAGCCATTTAAAGTAATTTTATATTTCTCCACTGCCTTACCACTTAATTAATTCACAAATTCTGTTAGTTCCTATACCCATCTTTCATTACCATCTCTTCTTCATCTCTGCTTACATCACAATTTTTGCCCCTTCTCTTTTTAAAAAAAATATTTGTATTGATTTCAGAGAGGGAGAGAGAGTTAGAAACATCAATTATGAGAGAGAAACATTGATCGGCTGCCTCCTGCACTCCCCCCAACAGGGGAACTAGCCTGTAGCCTGGGCATGTGCCCCTGACCAGAATTGAACCTGGGACCCTTAAGTCCACAGGCTGACACTCTATCCACTGACCCAAACCAGCTGGGGCTCTATTTATATTCTCATCACTTTCTCTCCCTGTCTACACTGCAGTCATACTAGACTTCTTTTACCTCTGAACTCTATGACTTAAAATATATTCTTCCCTTACAAATGAATGCCTATGTCATCTTATTTAGTTCTACTTCTTCATATCTCAGATTTAGCATGACTTCCTCAAAGAGGCTTTCCTGATTTCCTAGACTGAATTAAGTGACCCCTTTTACACATTCCGTAGTATCCACAACTTGTCATTTTTAAAATGTCTTTTGTACTGAAATTACTGAGTGCCTACTGTTGCATTAAAGTATAAATTTCATGAAATCTACTATGTCCCCAGGATCTAGCAAGGAACAGAAGTAAAAATATGTTGCAATTGAATTTATTGAAATATTAAGTGTGTAAAATCCCTATTTTACAGAAAAATGAGACTCTTGGTATAGTTAAATACTTAGTAAATAATGGTGTGGAACTCAACTCTAAATCTGCCTTCAAGACCTGTACCGTGCTATTCTTGTTCCTACAGTGAGCACTTTGAGGAAAGATATTGTGGGGTTTTGTTTGTTTTATGTGTTAATCCTCACCCAAAGATATTTTCTCCATTGATTTTTAGAGAGTAGATGGGAGGGAGTAAGGGGAAAGAGAGAGAAAGAAACATCCATGTGTCTCACATTAATTGGTTGCCTCCCAAACACGCCAGGCCAGGGGTGGAACCTGCAACCCAGGTACATGCTCTGTGACCCTTCATTATGTGGGCCAATAGCCTAAACACTGAGCTATGTTGATCAGGGCCAGATACTGTGTTTTGATCAAAACTATATCACTAGGACCTGGCTTAGTACTAGGCATAAATATAATGGAGAAATTAAATTAGCTACAATGTCATCACCTGGTATAACCAGTCTTAAAATATTGCTGTATTTCTTTTCATTCATTTTTATGTGCATATAGGTAGCAGATATGTATAAATAATTTACGTAATATTTTACAAATTTTACAAATACCATATTACTCATGGTTTTGTCTTCTTCAATTCATGTGAATATTTTCCCTCTTTAGTCAATGATCTTTGAAACACTTTTTTTTTTTTTTTTTTTTTTTTAAGGATAGATTGTTGACTTTTAGAGAGAGAAAAAGGGAGAGGGAGAGAGAGAAACATCTTCTCTAAGAGCATAACATTGGTTAGGCATCATCCTGTGAACTGAAAGGTCCCTGGTTGAATTTCCTGATCAGGACACGTGTCCTTGTTGCCAGCTCAATCCCCAGTAATGATATGTGCAAGAGGCAGCCATGATCTTCCTCTCTCATCAATGTTTCTATCTCTCCTTTTCCCTTCTTTTCTCTCTAAAAATCAATAAAAGCATATATTTTTTTTAAAAAGGAGCACAATTAAAAATGATTCAGAATGATTAAGACATCTTTCTGTTTCAGCTTGGTGTGTGCAGTGAGTTATACAACTCAGGGCGGAGAAAAAATGTATTTTAGAAAATTCTTCAAATTTCAGGTATTGAATATGACAGTGGTAAATGTTTTTATTTGTGTGTGTGTTTTGTATTTATTTGTTTTTTGAAAGTGTAGTTATTTCTATTTTTCTACAGTGAAAACAGGCTCCAAATAAAGCATATAATATTTTTGGACTTTTCATATTACTAGCAATCTGAAGTTAGATGTAATTAAGTTAATTAAAAGCAGAGAAATTATCATTACCAATTTATAATAATAAAAAGGTAATATGCTAATTAGACTGGATGTCCTTCCTGGTGACATTCTGGACAAAGCTCGGGCTGCAAGGACCTAACCTTGCACCTATTTTGTGCATTGGGCCTCTCGCGTACCAATCTGATGTTCTTGTAATGAAACTTGAAGGTTTTTACCCCCAAAATATTTCTGTTATTTTTATAACTTCACAAAGCACACATGAAGAGGGGGAAAATGACTGACAAGTCCAGGTAAAATAAGTATAGATGTTATCAACTTTATAAGGAAATATTTAAATGAGAAATTATTGACTTGGGCTGAGTACACCAAGCTTCATCGGGACTCCAAAATTTTGTATTTATACACAATTTTCAAAGTCAGTAATCAAAAATAGTTTAAAAACCACTGTTTAACGTACATATGTGTGTGTGGACTGGGAGACAAGATTACCATGTATGTCTTTATATAGAGCTAGCTATGATGCTATATATATTTTTTATACCTTTACGTGAAAGAAAAACTATTATCAATAGGAAACATATTTTGCTATTGCTTTGCTACATTGCTAATTTGTTTTAAGATTTTACATGCCTTTTGAAAAAATAAAAGGAATTTTAGTTGCTTAATTTAATAAACATTTTTGGTAAATAAACGTATAGAAAAATACTGAAGTAATGTGTTCAGTTCAGTCAAATGTAATAAAGTAAAACCCACGTAACTATCCCCTAGTCAAGAAACAATGGTTGCCTTTTTAAAGATGCATTTAGGATTATCCATTTAGGGTTTTTTGTTTCTGTAAGAGGATTTCATACCTATTAGAAAAGTCTTTTACAAATAAATTGGAAAGTGGCTTTGACACATGTAAGCCCTGCTATTTAAAACAACCAAACAAAATGAATGGTCAAATGATAAGAAACTCCTGCTTGATATGCTTTATTCAACTAGGTTCTCAAACCACTGGATGTGAAAACCAAATTTTACAATGCAGAGGTAAGTGTTGGGCACGTAATATTTTGGATAAAACATTAAGATCTTATTTGATTAAAATTATGTAGTATTACATTTCTTTTTATATTGAAGTCAATTGCTGATAGTCCTGCAAATTACTTGTGAAAAATGAGCATAAAGTTCAATCAAAAGTGAATAATTTCATTGAAGATCACTTTAATCTGCTGTTTTCAACTTACATGGAATCAGTATGATTTTTATTTTCATTGTTAATTTTGTAAAGCTTTCACCCCTTTCATTAAATGATTGCCCTATCATTCCAATTAATAGTTCTTATTACTGTTTAAAAACATCAGCGATCTGCTGAATATTTACAATGTAATTCTGATATTTCAAAAAGTAAAGTGGTAGCTCTAACCCTGCAAAAAAGATTTAATATTTACATGGGAAATATTGATAAGTAGAGCTCAGCAGTATGAAGTTTGTTGTACAACTGGGCATACCAACATGTCTAAGAGAAGGAGCCTGATCTACAGTAAAGAGCCATGAGGAGGAAAAAAAGACATAAAATAACAAAACCAGCTACTCTAGTATAAAGTGAACCTAAGAGAATGATATTTAAAAAAAGTGTGCTACAGGAACTCTGGGGAGGAGATTTTGAAGTAGTCTGAAGAAGCTTCATGGAAGAAGAGGGGAACTGAGCAGAGTCTGGAAGAAGGGATGTTGGGGAGCCCAAGTGTAAGAGCAGTGAAGGCATTCTAAGCAGAGTTGCCCAGGCACATGGAACCTGTAGTGAAAAGTGTACATATTTGATGGGAGGGTAGAGTCTCATCAAGGAGATTCCTAGATGTCTAGATGCTTGAGGTATGTGTTGTGTGTGTGTGTGTGTGTTTAATATATTTTCATTGATTTCAGGAAGGAAGGGAGAGGGAGAGAGAGAAAGATCAATGATGAGAGAGAATCATTGATCAGCTGCCCCCTGCACACTCCGAACTGGGGATCAAGTCCACAACCTGGGCATGTGCCTTGACTGGGAATTGAACCACGACCTCCTGCTTCATAGATCGATGCTCAACTACTGAGCCACACCAGCTGGCCTACTAGTTTAAAGAGTTGGACATTTATTTTGGGGGTTAGGAGAGTTGGAATACTACATATGTGCTCCACCTTTTTTTGTTATTTAATACTGTAATTTTGATTAATTGCAGCATTTGGCTTGGTGAATTTTATTTTATTTTTATTTATTTTTAAATATATTTTATTGATTTTAGAAAGGAAGGGAGAGAGAGATAGAAACATCAATGATGAGAGAGAATCATTGACTGGCTGCATCCTGCATGCCCCTCACTGGGGATGGAGCCCGCAACCCAGGCATGTGCCCTTGGCTGGAATCGAACCTGGGACCCTTCAGTCCGCAGGCTGATGTTCTATCCACTGAGCCAAACCAGCTAGGGCGACTTGGTGAATTTTAAATAGTCTTATTGGAAAAATTTCATTCCTGGTAGGAGCAGAGATTGTTAACTATTCTGTTAGACTAGATATGTTAGAAAGTTAAAAATAAATAGGGCTATAGTGGGTCTTTTTTTTTCTATAAATGGCTCATTGGAAAGTACATATTAAGATATTTTGGGTTTTCTTTGTTGAAGATATGTTGGTATATTCAGGTACAAGTAGTTTTATAATACTTGTCACTTATTCAGTGATTTTTGAATAGCTTTATGAATTGCTAGTTACTCCATGAAAAATATACAAGTGACATACTCCCCTAAAAACAAACAAATAAATAAATAAACCTCACAATTTCACCACACCAAAAAGTAACTGATTTTTCATTCATCCATATTCTCTTTCAGTCTTTACTCATTTATATATAATATCCTGTTTTTATAATCATAGTAACAATTTTATTTGTTGCCTTTTTCAGCTAACATTATATGTAAATAAACATAAATTTCAAGTTTTTGCCAACTAACTTCAGAACAAAAGTTTTAATAAAATCTGAACTTTTTAAAATAGATATCTCTTTAAAAACAAGATAGGATTGAGGCAGTTTCCTAGGAAATGCAAGGAAATGATAGGAGTTAATAAATCACTCTAGACGGAAGGTGGTATTTTTTATACTCTGACATAGTCCTTACAAACCTAAAATCAGTCCATCATTTGTCACAGACATTTGTAAGCTGTTTCTAAGAATTCTAATAATATATGAGTCTCCTAAAAACAAACAAACAAGTTTTTGTGGAAAATTTTGTCATAGTCTTCTAAAATAGAAAAGCCTCTCAAGAAGTGACATTAGATGCTGGGATTCAGACGTTTGGTCACATGCTGGATGCAGAGCTCCAGGCCAGGTGATGAAGAGAAATATAAATAAACTGGACATCTTCACAATCCTCAAGGAACTTAGGTCTAATGGAGGAGACCAGCATGACAGCTACAGTATAGTATAAGCACCCCTCCCCCACCAGATCATGAAGTGTACTAATACTCTGGGAACACAGAGAAGTGAAATATGATTTCCAGCTATGTATTTGACCAAAAAAAAAGGACATTTGAGATGACCCTTGATAATTGGGTAACTTTAGAAATACATTTTAAAAAGTAAGACTCACTGAAATCTACTAACAAGAATAGAATAAATTCTCAATTGTCTGTGGTCTATCTCACCATTCTCTGAAGTGATCCATAGAACCCTAGTCACACAAGATGCTCCTTGAAAAATGGATTCCATTATTAGATAAATTGAGAAGAATGTCTTCATTGTATGTATTCTGAATGTGGAGGGTAGTGTATGTCCATTTTAAGTAATCTGTGAAGAATTACAGTGCAGTAAAGAATTTATAGAACTAGAAAGGCATGGGATATACTTTTCTCTCCCAAGATGTGCCCTTGAAAATTTGCTTCTATTAAGTACTTACCTGTCATGTTCGTCTCTATTCATTTAACCTTAATAGTTTCACCTGTTTAGAAAAATGATTTGTCATATTCCTTTATGTAGCTTTCTGTTTACTTTCTTATTTTACTAATGCTGTCTTGTATAGTAAATTAAAAAAAATGCAGAAATGCATTTTATTTTAAAGTTAGTTATTCTTTTTCTTTAACATTTAATTCTGATTTTTCTAATTTTTCTTTTTTATTTTTCCATTAGAGTGACCTCAGTTCTGTGGTAATTTGATTTTTTATTATAAATTTCTATGCTTATCTTACTCACCACTTTTTTACTCTAATCTCTCTTTATAAACATATTGGAAAAATAAAGTTAGTATGAATACCAGCTACTTAACTTCAAAAAGATATATATTGAATATAATTTTTTGTACTTTTTAAATTTATATTAATTGTCTTCTGTGAAAAAAATAGATCAGAGATTAAATTGTAATATTGAAACAATTATATTCTCCTTTTTAGTGTTTTTCCCTTAAGTGTTTTTTTAAAAGAGTCATGTTAACCTTGTTTAAAATAGCCTTGGGATTTTCAACATCTTACTAATAAAATATCCTATTAATACTTTAACTCTTAAAAAAACTATCTAGTTTAAATTTATCTTCAAATGCACAAGTGGTTTTAGTTTTAAGTCTGGGTCAGGTAAAGATGGCCCTTTGATAATAGTAAACAGAAGAAAATCAAATTTTCCCAAGTTGGCTAAAATCATATTTTTAAATTTTTATTAACTATAAGCAGTATTTGCTTACACAGTGTTACATTACATACATAATAACAATATCAACTGCCATAGCACTGAATTCTTTTTCAAATGTCAAATTATTTTATACTAACTATTCAAACTAACTTAATTTTCCATTATGCTGCTTGTTTTTCTTTCATTTTATCTAAACTCTTCCTAATTTATGCAGAAAATTGCACTTTTAAAATTGAAATGTAGATCTATGGTTATTTTTAAAGCAATGGATTGATGGGATATATTTAGGATTCTTTTGAGAAAATAGCAGAATAATGCCTTTAAATTAAGGTATATTCTTTTAAACTGATACGTCATTATATTTTTGTTTTCATTTGAGCACATATGCCAAGAAGTAAAGAATCTGTTTTATTATAGATAATAATACATTAGAATATAACCTTATCATTATATTTGCAAATGATTTTCATTTTCTGAACTTAGTATTTAAAGGCTTATAAATGCCAAGATGTTTTGGTTATAGTTTGTGTGTGTGTGTGTATACACACATACTAGTATGTGTGTATACACACACACACATATATATATATATATATCATGTACCTATATAACTACAAAATTTTGAACAAATTAATTCTTGAATATCTTTACTATATTATTTCTCATATAGGTTAGTTTATAAAATAAACCAAATTATCTGTTATCCTTCAATTACACGCACAAAAAATAATAACCAAATAGCATAAAAAGAATGTTTAACATAACTAATCAGAGAATAAAATTTTTTTTATAAAAGTACTTATTTAAATTACCCATTGATTAAAATACTGCTGAATAGCATCACTTTTCAAACATCACTAAGTACAAAATACCTTTTGTTTTATTTAAAAGTTCTAAAATTGTCAAGTGTAATTCACATAATTTTTACCTTAAATTTATATTTTTTTATTTTTATTTTTATTTCTTAAAATATGTTTTATTGATTTTTTACAGAGGGGGATAGAGAGTTAGAAACATCAATGAGAGAGAAATATCGATCAGCTGCCTTTTGCACACCCCCTACTGGGGATGTGCCCACAACCAAGGTACATGCTCTTGACCGGAATTGAACCTGGGACCTTTCAGTCCGCAGGCCGATGCTCTATCCACTGAGCCAAACCAGTTTCGGCTAAATTTATATTTTAAATGAACCAAGAAATTAGTAACGGCCACTAACAAATTGCTTTAATTAAAGTTAAATTCTATAAGACTATATAAAATACATTATTCACTGTATTAGTGGTCTCTATATTATCTAAGTTGAAGCAGTGTGACAATTGTTATATTATGCTCAAATATTATAAAGACTAAATTATCTTAGTGTATCACTGCAATGATAGGTATGCAGGTATATTAATCATACTAAATTTCATTTTAACATATTAATAACTTATACTAGAAGATTTAGGATATTTGTGAATGAAATTTCAGTTAAAAAATACTTTTTATCTTAATACAAAAATATCATAGTTATCCCCCATCCATTGTTTGACAAGTTATCAATTGACTAACACTTGACTTTGCCCCTGTTAATTACGTTAGGATGAAGATTTCTTTTCTTGCATTAATTATGATAACATTGACTTTCAGGCATGAACTAATCACATTGTGGTTAATATTTTTTCTTCATATAGATCAGATATTTTGTTGAGGTTAATATTTTAAATAGCATTACACTTTGGTGGATATTTTTTCATATTTTCAGACCGATGAAGTATTTCTCGAAGCCCAGATTCAGAATATTACGACCTCACCCATGTTTATGGAGAAAGTTTCATTAGAGCCATCTATAATGTATAATGTAGCAGAATTAAATTCAGTCAACCAAGCTGGAGAATGGTAAGTATGAATTATGAAAGTGTTTATTCTTATTTTGAAACGTATGAACTCTTCTGATATCTGTTACTCTTGGATGTTAGTAGAGTTTTTTTATTTTCATAGGAAAGTTGATTCAAAACCAATTTCTCTCTCAGAGCATCCTAGTATTTACATTGTTTTAATGTGGCACGTTTGTTACAATTGATGAACCAATAGTGATACTTAGAATTAACCAAAATCCATAGTTTACAGTAGGGCTTAATTTTTTGTGTTGTACATTCTGTGGGTTTTGAGAAGTGTAATGACAAGTATCCATCATTATATTATTCAAAGTAGTTTTACTGCCCTAAGATGCCCTGTGCTTTACCTACTCATAAAAATAAAGATCCTAGTTATTTGCATTTTATGTCTTACTATTTGAAGCACTTGTTCTTTTAATTTTCATAATAATTCAGTGAGTTAAATGTGAAACCTTCATCTTATCCTGCAAATGATAAAACTGAGGCATCGGAAGGAATGATGAAGAGATTAGAAATGGTGAGTTTTAAGAAAAAATATTCAGTCATCATCAAAAGGAGAGTATATAGGAATAGATGATTGATATTTTTGTGAAAACAAAAACATAAGTCTTTCTATAGGGAATTTTGAAAAATAAATATGTTTGGCATTAATATGAATAGGAAGGTAATAGCTGGAGAAAGTGCCTGACTTTCTTAAACAAGAATGGAAGTTTACTGTTATCTTATTATGTTGGTTAGATACAAAAGAGTTCTTAACCTCTCATACACCCACTGGGGAAAACAATTTTCCATCCTCTTTCTATTATTTTAGTTCATTTCGGAAATAATTACTTAGTTTATGATATTATGTTTCTTCTTTTTTTTTTTTTGTCTTAAGCTTTACATACATTTCCTTTTTCCCTAGTTGACCCCCCTTCTTATTCTTAATCTTTTTTTTTTTTTTTATAATTATAGAGAAGAGGAAAGGGATATTTGAAGTTTTTATCTTTATTGCATTTTTTCAGCTAATTGATACATATCCAATATTTTAGGTAATACATTGCTTTCTATTATAAAGAACCTCAAGATTTTTCATATTAACAAAAATTAAACAAAAATAAATCCTCTTGGTATAAATCCTTTTCATTTGTGTTGAAACAACTCACCTGTTCTGTTCTAGATCTTTGGATGGTAAATCATTCAGTTCCTGTCAAAAGGAACAATCACGTGGTTTTTCTTTTAAATATGCTACAGAAATCTCTCCATCTCTGTCTCCATCCCTCTCAGTGTAACTACGTTTGGGTCAAGAACATATTTGCAGCCAATGGACACACGCCAGTACTTGTATTGCCTAAAGCCCAAGAAGGAGTTTGCAGAAAAAGCCGGCATCATTAAGGGGGTAACAGTAATTGGGAAATTGGATATAGTGTGGAAAACAAATCTAGGTGAAAGGGGAAGATTACAAACCAGCCAACTTCAAAGAATGGTGAGTCTGGGAAAAAACTTCAGGTTTTGGTGTGTGTGTGTGGGGGGGGGGACGGGTAGGTAGATATGACAACTTAAATTTTCCTAGGTCTACACACTAAAAACCAGAGCAATATAAGAGGCATTAATATTACTAGAGAACAAGAGATAAGAGACTAATAATTTTACTGATCTCTAGGGGAAAAAATTGGTATGAGATAAATGGAAAATCTTCAACTGTTCATTTATCCTTTATACGTGATTTTTTCTTTACAAACAAAAATTAAAATAACTGCCGAAACCGGTTTGGCTCAGTGGATGGAGTGTCGGCTTGGGGACTAAAGGGTCCCGGGTTCGATTCCGGTCAAGGGCATGTACCTTGGTTGCGGGCATATCCCCAGTGTGGGGTGTGCAGGAGGCAGCTGATCGATGACTCTCTCTCATCGATGTTTCTGGCTCTCTGTCTCTCTTCCTTCCTCTCTGTACAAAATCAATAAAATATATATATTTTTAAAATTAAAATGACTCCTTATAATTTGTTCCCTCCTAAGGTTTATCATACTCTCTGTTACCTGACTTCCACTATATTAAAATTTTCCTTTTTGCAATGTCCTGAAACTCTTACTACATCACCTACTCAGTTTATACCATTTTTAAGATGTTTAAAATCTGAGTTATCAGCAACCAGTGTGTGAGTCCCACTAATGTGAACTTGTAAGCATTGATTGGATACCTCATTTCTGCTCTGAGAATAGGAATAACTACCACTCTTCCTTTTTTGTGTTAGAATATGCTACAGAATCCTCCATTAGTGCTGAATATTACCTGTTTTGATATATTCTAAAATTAACTGTTCTTTCACTATTTGAAGTAATCACTTCCAAAAAAAAATGTCACTGGCCTATTTTTAATGTAACAGTTAGCTATCGTCCTGCCATGACATTTTTCAAGCTTTCATGTTTCTGCGGCCTATCCTTGCCCATGTGTATTGTGAAAAGACATGATTTTCTTCCTGAAGGTCATTTCAGAGTGATCATCCTCTTTCTGTTTAGGCAGTAATCTTCTCTATTTAGAGCTATGTGTATATGAGCCACAGTATCTTTGGAAAGCATCCCTTTAAGATAAGACCTCCTGAAATGTCTTTACTACAAGATCTATAGACCTTGAGATTCATTATAACTCTTCTTAACATGGAGTAATTACAGCAAAAACAGGCAGGGTCTATAGTGCTGTTCTGCAGGTAGTAGCAGCAAAAGAAGTTAGAATGAAGAATAGAATAACTGAAAAATATTTTCTCCGAACATCATCTTGGAGACCCAGCAACTATTGAATGAATATCCTACTGTGGTACTGTCATAACAATGGAAAGGTTTTGTAATACATATATGTTAACTGTGTTGCTTTTCCTTTTAGGCTCCAGGTTATGGAGATGTTAGATTGTCTTTGGAGGCAATCCCAGATACCGTCATCCTAGAAGAACCTTTTCATATTACCTGTAAAATAACGAACTGCAGGTAATGCCAATGTTTGTGGATGGATGTCCTTCCCTCCTCACCCACCTAAAAGATCATTTTTATTTCCTTTTTTTCTAAGTTACATTTTATTTTTTAATCCCAGTTTACTTTTAATATTATTTTGCATTGGTTTCATGTATACAGCTTAGTGGTTGGACAGTCATATACTTTACAAAGTGTTCCCCCAATATTCGTGGTACCCACCTGGCCCATACCTAGTTATTACAGTATTATGGACTATATTCCCTATGCTGTAATGCTGTACTATTTTATAACTACCACTTTGAACTTCCTAATACTAAAAGAGAATTTTTAAGTCTTTTAAATAGGTTGTCACCTTTTAAGTTCCTGTTGACATGTGGCCTTTTCTGATGTTGATGTTGAATAATGTAGTTGTTCATGTGGTACCTTTATGTTACATATTTTTGAGGTTGTGCTGCATTAGGCAGTTGATGTATTAGATTACATTCATGCATTATATCCTATGAGGTAGGTATTAATTATTCACAGTCTATGCAAGAGAAAATCAACTTAGAGGTTAAGGAACTTTATTTAAGCACAGAGAGCTAGAAAAGATGGGGCCAGAATTTGAAACTGGGTGTATTTGACTTCAGAGTCCAGATTCTTTTCATTGTTTACACTTCCCTCACACTTCACGTCATTCAAGTATGAGATAATAGGTTCTTGAGGAATAATATATTATAGATGTAATGTAACAAGGCAGATTTTTCTGAGCCATACTTATACCTAGGGCTATATCTTTAGTAGTTAGAAAGTAAAAATAGGTTATGAATTTAATATAAGGGATAACCATAGATTGGAAAACAGGACTTTGATAATAAAGGGAAAGAATAATCTAGTTATTAAAAAGCAGAGCCCAGAGCTTTGAAGCCAGAAAAACCTAGAATTAAATCCCAATCCTATCACTTTTGCTACTCCATCTATTAGTACTTGGTATTATTATTTGGGGCATTTTAATAATACTGCAGTGATGAGTCCCAGCCCTCACTGTGTGAATGTATAAACCTTTCTAATCCATTTTCATTTCCACCTTATGGTATTTGTGGGCGATAGGAAAGAGTCATCCCTCAAAACTTCAAAAATACTACTTCCCTTAGGAAGCCACCTTGTCCCTCCCATGCAGAGTTAATCATCCTTTTCTCTCTTACAGCAAAGTTCAATGCAGTTTTTTAGTGACACTCATATATTGCTACAATTGCTAGTCTTTTCCTCACTGGATTGTGAATTATTCACGGGAAGGGCCCATGTCGTGCCCAGAATTGTAAATGCAGTGCTGACCACAGTGGAGGAGCTCAGCGAACAATACACACAGAGCAAAGGCCCTGCGCGTTTACAGTGGGGCTTGGGGTTTTTTGTTTGTTTGTTTGCTTCCTTTGAGTTTTTTGAGGTATAGCAAATCCATTATTGACCAAATGGCCAAGTGCTATCAACATAGTTTCTGGGTTTTTGTGAAATTTAATGCGAAAATTCATGCAGTGCATCTAACCTGGTGTGTGGCACAGTTGACATTTTAAATGTTTATTTAGGAAACAGAGAGACCTATATAAACTAAGTACCATTAAATTGTTATATCTAAAAATCAATAAATTAAATTTTAAATAAATATTTTAAAATATAGAGCCAACTATGGAAAAAAAAAAAAGGTAAGAGTTGAATGTAGTCATGAATGGTGGTAGAGTGTTTTTCATTATGAGCCTTTGGTTTGTGTGTGTTTTTAAACAACATGCATGCTTTCAGTACAACCAATGGACACAAAACTCTGGGGAGGGAGGGTATGTATGGGAGGGGGGGCAATGTTAAAATAAAAATAATAAATAAAAATAAAAAAAGTTTTAATACATTTAAGCTGAACTGATTCTATCAATTGTAACCAGAAGCAAGCTTTTTATGTTAACAGTGAACAAACCTGAATAGTTTTTATTTCTTATAAATCTTGTCAGTCATTTTCTGTGTTATCTCCATGGTAAAGATACATAGATAGGACAAGTACTGGACCAGACTCAGTTTGTCATTGTGTCTCCTGCGGATTACCCAACAGAGATAGGAAGGATGCAAAGCACTAAAATTAGACACAGATACAAGAAGTCTCCCAGAGAAGTGGCAAAGCAGGGAGCCAGGTGCCTAGTAATAGAACCAGAAGGCCAACAACCAGAAAGGCACATTAGTCTCAGTGACACTTTAAACGCTAGGAGATGCTATCTTCCTTCATTTTTAGGACTCTATCATAAGTGAGATAAAAATGATATATTTTCATTTGTTTCTGGCTTTTAATTCTCCTGGACACCTAGAAAACAAACTCACTGGAAGTAATGCAAGAATATCCCATCCCTCTGTGAAAGGAACAAGATTTATTCCTGTTTTTCTGATTCCTCCAGCAGTGAAAGGACTATGGACCTAGTTTTGGAAATGTGCAATACCAATTCTATCCACTGGTGTGGCATTTCAGGAAGACAGCTCGGAAAGCTGCATCCAAGTTCCTCTCTCTGCCTGGCCCTTACTCTACTGTCTTCAGTACAGGGACTGCAAGTATGTCATCTTTTCAATAATTTCAGTATTTGGGAGCTATTAACCCATCAACTGTATCCATACTTTCCTAGTAATTACCATTGAATGAAAACTTAGGCCTGTATTTTTCTCTCAATAGAGCGTCTCCGGCTTAAGACTAACAGACACGTTTTTAAAGAGAACATATGAATATGATGACATCGCACAAGTCTGTGTGGTATCTTCGGCCACTAAAGTGGAAAGCTGAAGAAAATTCCCAATGTTATGCCTTTCACTGAGTTTCACAGAACTTTCTGTATTTTTTTTGTCACCTTTGTATAATGATCAAGCCAGCAGTAAAAGGATGTATATGTTATTTAAATTTCTTTCCTGTAAAACAGTTAAAATATTAAATATTTGTTTTGAAAAGACCATCTACTGGTTTTATCTTGTGAGTTATATTCTCAAGAAACATTTGTATATTTTCTACACATACCCTTTTTGTTTCATTGGACTTGTTCTCTCAAAGCTCTATATTTGAGGCCATTTGTCCCTAGCAAGTATCTACACCAGGCATCAGCAACATTTTTATGTAAAGGGCCAGATAGTAAATATTTTAGGCTTTGCAGGCCATGTGGTTTCTATTGAAGATAATCACTCCACTTTTGTGGTGCAAGAGCAGCCAGTTGGCCAAAAGAGCACAGTGGGTTTTGCAAATCAGGCAGCCAGTCTGCAGGCCATAGTTGGCTGACCTCAACCTAGAACAGTGGTTGGCAAACTCATTAGTCAACAGAGTGGCAAACCGCAGCTCATGAGCTGCATGTGGCTCGAGAGCCGCAATTTGCCAATCACTGACCTAGGAGATAGAACTGTTCCTTAAGACTTAAGAATTTTTATATTTCAGTTAAGTCCAGATTTTTCCTAGCTCCTTAGTCAACAGAAAAAGTTGTTTAAGCCGGGACCGGTTTGGCTCAGTGGATAGAGCGTCGGCCTGCGGACTGAAAGGTCCCGGGTTCGATTCCGGTTAAGGGCATGTACCTTGGTTGCGGGCACATCCCCAGTGGGGGATGTGTAAGAGGCAGCTGATCGATGTTTCTCTCTCATCGATGTTTCTAACTCTCTATCCCTCTCTCTTCCTCTCTGCGAAAAATGAATAAAATATTTAAAAAAAAAAAAAGTTGTTTAAAACAACTGAGATGGTCCTCGAATAACCTTGTATTTATTAACAGAGTATGAATTCTTCCCAATTCGTGTATTGGTGAGTTTCTATGTTTATGTATACATATATTATAAACCCACACGTCTAAGTTTCAGTAAACAACAGCAGATCTTAGATTACTGCTTACTTGGTTAACTTTTAACTAAGAAGCTTGACTCTTTTCTAAGTCCCAAAATCTTGTTGTTGTTTTTTTCCCATTAAAAAAAAAAAAAGCCACTTATTTTCATAGGTATATTTAAAGGATTTCCAGCTTCTGATATTTGACTTTGGATTCTAAATCATGTGTTAATATTAGAAAACTTTCTACCTCTGCCTATAATCACACCAATTTTACTTATGCCTTGAATAAAATAGTGAAAAAGTTAAGATTGAAACAACTTTACAATGGAGTGTAATGTTTCAATATTTTGTCAGGAAAATAAATGGTTATGCTGTTAAGTAAACACTTATTTTGGTAAGTGGAAATGTAAGGATGTCCTATATAATAAAAGCCAAATATGCTAAGTGTCCAGTTAGTTCAACCAATCAAAGCATAATATGCTAATGATATGCTAAGGCCTCTCAACCACTTGCTGTGACATGCACTGACCACCAAGGGGCAGACACTCCGACTGGTAGGTTAGCTTGCTGCTATGGTCCAGCCAATCAGGATTGAGTTAGATGGGCCTGACACACCCTGGAACCCTCCCATGAGTCCTCTCAAACTGGCCAACCTCCCGTGTCCCTTCCCAGCCCTGATTGTGCACTGGTGGGGTCCCTTGGCCTAGCCTGTACCCTCTCACAACCTGGGACCCCCTCGGGGATGCTGGAGAGCTGGTTTTGGCCCAATCCCACAGGCGAGGCCGAGTGACCCCACTGGTGCAAGAATTCATGCCCCGGCCCTCTAGTATATACATATATCTATAACTACAGGCCTGGTGCATGAAAATTTATGCACTGGATGGGGGTAGTCCCTCAGCCCAGCCTGCCCCCTCTCACAGTTTAGGAGCCTTCATGAGTTACAGGTGACACCCCATCATACCTCTGCTGCTGCAACTGCTGGCAGTGCAAGCCTCGGCCAACCCTGGTTACCCGAGCCTCAGGTCGTCCCTGGGCAACATCCGAGGCTTGCCTGCACCTCGAGGTGGCCCTGCTTGCCCGAGCCTCAGTCAGTGGGGGGTGCAGGAGGACCCGAGGCCCCTGGCAGGGCTGAGGAGACTTGTGGCCGGCCCTGGCTGAGGAATGGAGGATACTCTCAAACATGAGCTATAACTTTAAATTTTTTGGACACCACACTCTTCAGCTTCAGGGGAGGGAGGAAGAGAGGGATGGGCAGCTCATTGGAGAAGCCTTGGCAAGCTGTCAGTAAGGTGTACAGGAGTCCCCAAGGGACCCCGGCAGGGCACATGGAGTGGCTGACCCTGCCCCTGCTGTGAGCATCACCATCTTGTGATGGTGTGGTGGTCAATTTGCATATTATCTCTTTATTATATAGGATTGCTTAAATGTAAGAGTACATTAAGTCAAATACAAAAATTATTTTTTCTTAAATGCATAATTATTTATTGCCATGACAAATTGGTCCAAAATGAAAGCTATATTCGAAGTGAGATTTGCCCCTTAAATTGGAGTAATAATTAATGAAATGTCTGTACAAGATAAAGTGTAAGCAGTGTAAAATATCTCTCTCTTCCAAAATGAATAAGGTTAATTAAATGATTAAAAAGACTTTATTGCCACTGCACTGGGTTTTTCAAGCATCTTCTCGTGATCAAACCTTCAGTTTCACTCAGTTTTAAATTTAAAAAGTAGCATATAATGGGTCACTTGGAATCTGCTATATAATTTGATTTAATTACAAAGTCTCTTTTTACAAGCAATAACCTAGACACATATTGTTCATTCTTTAAATAAAAGATAATCTTATTTTAGAAAGGACCTATTTAAACCACATTATAAAAATTAGATAAACAATTTCTTACATTAAATGAAAGGGTCATTTGCATAAAAAAGATATTTTACGTTTTACTTAGCATCATAATAGCTACAGCTACTATAATGAAATGTGATTAATGTAAGTCACTTATTCCTAAGTAGACTGTATATAAAGATTTACCTTAATGTCCTGTTTCAGGTAAGCAAGAATAAAATATTTGGGGCATTTCTTACAATTTTATGAGTAGCTACGCAATCCAACTACACAAAACTTTCTTGAAATGCAGTGATTCCAAAGTGAGGAAGATACTTGAGCAAAAATGGCTTGAATCAGATGGAAATCCAGGTGAGGGAACTATCATTTAGATTGGATTTGGTATGGGTAGTATATTAACAAAGAAACCATCTAGGAGCTAAAAAGGAATAAATACACTAATTCCTATTACTTATTGTAAATAGTAAGTAATCTTCACAGCAGATATTAGCAAATCAAGGCATTGATTTAAAGGGTTCTGCTTACAATTATCTGATTTCGGTATCAGAATAATACGTATGTAAAATGAGTTGTGAGGTACTTCCTCCTTTTCTATTTTCTGGAAAATTGTGTAGCTTGAAATTATTTCTCCCTTAACTTTTTGATAGAATTCCCCATTGAACTTGTTTGGGACTGGAGCTTTCTTTCCTGGAGGATATCTGTTTCTGCAGTGAGCTTTAGCACTTTCTGTCCTACAAGGAATTTTTTTAAGTTAATATTGTTGAATATATAGATCTAAAGTTGGTTGTAGTATTTTCTAATGATCCTGTAGTATTTTCTAATGTCTGCATTGATATCCCCTTCTTACCTCTGACATTGTTGATTTGTATGTTCTCTATTTCACTAGTCAGAGAGCTAGAGGCTTACTAGTTTATCAATCTGAAAGCATTTTTTTAATCCTTACCCAAGAAGTGAAGATATTTTTCCATTGATTTTTTTAGAGAAAGTAGAAGGAGGAAGAAGAGAAACATTGATGTGAGAGAGAGACATCAATTGGTTGCCTCCCATTTGCGCCCGGACTGGGGAGTGGGGATCAAACCCAGGTACGTGCCCTTTAACAGGAATCAAATGCGGGACCCTCTGGCGCAGCTCGCCAACCGGTGGCTCGTGAGGTCCGAAAGGTTGGCATCTGCTGCTTTGGTGCACAAGCTGGTGCTCTAACCACTGAGCACACCAACCAGGGTGAAAGGATTTTTAATGCACTCAAGATAGCTATGCTATTATAGAAACTTTTTCTTAACACTGGATAACAGTGACTGATTTTTAAGGATCGGCTTTGCCTTTTTCATCAATGTCATCACATTTGTGTAATTAGTCCTTCTGTATAATCCTTGGACACTAGGAGATGAATTTATGAAAAATTAAATTGGTTTCGATGGACTAGAGGAGATTTAATTCAGAAGGCCCAAGACTTAAGTCCTTCTCGTCTCTGGACAGAACTGTAGGTTTTTGTAGGTCTTCATTGTGGCCTAAGCCCAGAGTGGGGGTTAGGTATTGCTGTGTAACAGGAGAAATCTCTAACCTAGTATGATTTAAAATGGTGCTTCCTGGGCCTTTCTACAGGACCTATTCAATAAAAATTCAGGTGGTCCTGAATCTGCATTTTCAGCAAATAAACCAGGTGACTCTTAACAGTGAAACTATGGAACCACTACTCTAATGTCACAAAGGGAAAGAGAAAAAGTTGGTTTTTAAACTTTATTCTCTTTTAAGGAGAATAGTTCTAATAAGGCCCTGATTATTATCAGCATTACTAATTTAATATTACATTCCTTTTCTGTTTTTTCTCACAACACTTGCAAAATTATGTGTCTGCCCAACTTTACCTATTTCATAATTAACAAAAGAAATTCCAGTTAGAACAGCTTCCTCCACGATAGAGCCATGCCATTAATACCGAACAATGTCACTTCTCTCCAATAATATGTATTCTAATTTAAATGTAATATTTTAAATTCCCCATTATGTTTAAGTTGCATCAAATTAAGTTAAGCATAAAAGCAACATGCCAAACCAAATCATAGCAGAGGATTTCATGAACAAGCATTGTTAATGACAGAGGCTTTCTGTAATCCATCAAATAACTGAGGTTTAAAAAAAAAAAAAAATTCAGTGTTTATGGGCACATAATTAAATGCCACTTAGAAAGTCCTTAAGAGCCAAGCCATTGGCTTATTTAAATGTAGGCATATTTGAGAGTTTTCATGGTAAGGTCACCACTGGGGAGGTTGTGCTAATTAAACTGAATAGTTTATACAACTGGC